TTATTTATTTATTTATTTATTTATTTATTTATTTATTTATTTATTTATTTATTTATTTATTTATTTATTTATTTATTTGATTTATTTGATTTATATCCCGCCCATCTGGTATAGTATACCACTCTAGGCGGCTAACGACAACATGCATACAATTAAAATAATAATATAATAATTATTATCGTCTAGCGAGGCACCACTGTATTATATTAATGGTGGGCTCTGGGAGTAGAGAATTGCCTCCTGGACCCCAGAATGTGCCCAATCCTGCATTTGGCAAAGTGAGGGGATGCAGCCACCTTTTCCTCTGATTCTGCTAAACTCTGTCTTCTCTGCCCCCTTGGCTAGTTGGCTGCCCTCAGGTATAATGCAGAATGGTATTCCATTGCCAGTGTTAAAACGCAATTGAACTACCAATAGAATCAGCTTCTACCTGTGGAAAAGGCCAGTCCCATTTTGGTCCTTTACCACAAAGAGCAAAATGGCTTGGTCAGACTCTGATTCCACCTCTGAGCTAGCCCTGATTTTCTTCCCACAGCACGAGAAGCTGGGAGACGTGTGTTTTTCACTCCGGTATGTCCCGACAGCAGGGAAGCTGACTGTTATTGTGCTGGAAGCCAAAAACCTCAAAAAGATGGATGTGGGTGGCCTTTCAGGTAAGACTTCTCCACCATAATTCTCACACGTTCAACCAGCATTTCCATAAACATTGAGAGGCACAGACTGGGAGCACCACCCATCCTCTTTCCCTTGATTCTGTTGTTGTTATATGTCATCAAGTCAGAACCAACTTATGGCAACCCTAACAGAGCCTTCAACATAAGTGAGATATTTAAGGAGTGGTTTTACCAGTTCTGCTCCCCCAATGAATTTCCATGGTTGAGCAGGGATTTGAACCCAGGCCTCCAGAGTCCTATTTCGTCACTCTATCCACTACACCACACTGACTATTTCTTCCCTGTCTCTAGTCTAGCATAATATAACCTCCTTGATTTTAATTTCTCTCACACATTCCATTCCTATTTCAGATCCCTATGTTAAAATCCATCTGATGCAGGGAGGTAAACGTATCAAGAAGAAGAAAACAACCATAAAGAAAAATACACTGAATCCTTATTACAACGAGTCCTTCAGTTTCGAGGTGCCTTTTGAACAAATCCAGGTAAGCTAATTTCTCTTCCCTGTCATTTCACCCAAAGTGTCCTGCTCCAAACCAAAGATGACTTTGTGCTCCAATTATTTCTATAGATAATTTCACTACATGTTCAGGACAATTACCAGCAAAAGTAAAGTTTTTTAGGGATTATTAGCTTGACTGTTCTCTTACATACTAATTTGAACCAAACCTAGTACGTATAAGGTAGACCAATTAAAATAATACCAAGCTATTTTTCACTACTATTCTACATTTAAAAAACCGATTGCTACCCTGTTTCCCTGAAAATAAGCCCTAGTATGATTTTTCAGGATGCTCCTAATATAAGCCCTCCCCCCAAAATAAGTCCTAGTTAAGTGAAACCCCATCCTCCACCATTGTGCAGCAACCAAAAGATGACATGACCATATCTGAATAAATGTAGATTGTTGTACAGGACAAAAAAAAGAAAACATCCCTTGAAAATAAGCCCTAATGCATTTTTGGAGCAAAAATTAATATATGACCCTGTCTTATTTTTGGGGAAACACGATGCTATATAAGACATTGGGCTATAGTGTCTCTTTCAGCCTGAGGATCAGTTATAGTTTTGGGGACACTATGGAGGGATGATCCAAAGGCAAAAGCTGAAAGCTAAAAAAGTGCTGTCCTCTGAAGATGCCGGCCACAGACACTGGCGAAACGTTAGGAAGAACAACCTTCAGAATACGGCCAAAGAGCCTGAAAAACCCACAACAACCATTAGCTTAAAGTCTTTATGGCCAGCAGCTCTACTTTAGTAAAGGCATCTATACCTTTTACAATGGAAGATTTTTTCCCCATCAAGCAAGGACTTTGCCACTGGGACAAACTGAGAGGGATGAACTTGAGACCCCAAAAGGGGTGGATTTGGTCTCAGAGCCTGACAGTCCCCACTCCTCTTATAGCATGTGCTATAAGACTCATCATCTTAGAACTGCAAAGCTGGAAGGGACCCTATCATCGAGTCTGACCCCTGTCAAGGAGGCGTCGAAATCCCAACTTCTGGCTCCACAGCCAGACTATGACCCCTGTCAAGGAGGCATCAAACTCCCCAACGTCTGGCTCCACAGCCAGATGATTAAACTATTAAACTAACTAAATAAATAAATATTGAGCTATCCAGCAGTCCCATGACTCATTGGCCAAAATACTGTTAATTACACCCACTGTAATACAACAAGAGTAGACCTTGCCTATACCTTGCCTGTTGCTCTTCCGTTGATAATGAACACACTTCCTTTTCCTTTACAGAAAGTCCAGGTTGTTCTGACCGTCCTGGATTATGACAAACTAGGCAAGAATGAAGCCATTGGGAAAGTTTTTGTGGGCTGTAATGCCACAGGTGCCGAGCTTCGTCACTGGTCTGACATGCTGGCCAACCCTCGGAGACCAATCGCCCAGTGGCACACCCTGCAACCGGAAGAAGAAGTGGATGCGGCTCTTGGCATAAAGACCTCTTGATGCCCCTGTCCTGTTGGCCGAATTACACGGCAAACCGTTCTGTCTCCCGTCCAGAGCGAATGGGAGTGTGTGGGTGAGGCACCCCTGAAAATGCGTGTGTGTGGAGGGGATAGCCTGTGAGCCTCTCTCTTCTCTCAGAGCCATTTGCTGTTGAAAAACAAAAACATCTCCAAGAGAAAAAAAACCCTCTGTTTTTAATCCACTGTGTGAAAAACGAAAGAAGCTTATTTAGTAGCTGGAGATAGGTGAGAGGTTTACTACAGGTTTGCTGTGAGGCTTACAGTACAACTTGTGTAGGTTTATATTCAGATTTGAATTCTGTGTTTCAAAATTGACCCTAATGTATAGATGGGCTTGCTTCTTGATAAAAAAACAGTCCTTAAATTACTGGATCTTGTGTTACATCACTATGCCACATTGGGAGAACAGGCCTCAGATAAACCTACTGTTTATCCCTTTTTACCTTTGGTGATACTATAGATTTGTTATAGATACCTTTAAAATATACCATTTCATATACATTTTGGATACTGTATTGTGGTGCCATGTTCAAAAACTAGACCTCATGTGGAAAATCTGTTGTGAACAATATCTACAATGTGTTGACAATAGGTTTAGTAAACAGTTGCAACAAACTCTGTTCCCTTATTACATTACCTAGGCACTTTTGGATATTGTTGTTGTAATAATGCATTAGAAAGCAAGGTCTTAGGTGAAAACATTCTGGAAGAAGTGAAAACATACCAGCTGAAATCTTGTTGCTTATTATAGTAAGTCACAACTAGAACAAGCCCCTTGAATCAACAGAATCTATGGAGGAGCTGACGTACCGAATCCCCACTGATTCAGTGGGCCTAGTCCAGTTTTGACTTATTACACTAAGCAACAAGATTTCAGTCAGTGAGAAAATAGGTTTTATACAACTTGATAACATTATAACTCAGGTTGAAATCTATAGACATTTACCTAGAAGTAAACCCATTTAATTCAATGACAATTACCTTTGAGTAAGCATGTATAGAATTGCACTGTAAAACAGTTTTACAGTTTTAATCCTCGTACTAGGAAATATTTAAAATTAGGGCCTTTTTAGTATCCAAAACTAGCAGCATAAAATGTAGGTTGATAATAACATTGCAAAATATGTTGTGTTTGCTTCATACATAAAACCCTAGTAAATGTGTTGTACTATATCCTAATTATGTTATTACAAAATAGTCACATATTTATCAGATAGAAAACAAGCCATCATTTGCCGAACTGTTATGGGTATGGTTAGCTGCTAAACTTAACTTTAGAATATACTTGCAATTGCTAGATTACTATGGTTTTCTGGATGTTGATCTTGGCAGAGTCGAGTGCTAAGCCTCCATCAGCCAATGCATTAAACTGTTTGTATCTAGTTTATCCTACTTGACATTGATATAATTTGGAATTTTATAACTGTTTTAACATAGCCAATGTTGCAATTGCTTTACAACATATTTATGAAATATTTATATGGGTATTACAGAAAATTTACAATAAGCTTTATGTAGACTGGTTGACTACAAATTTACTACAGTGTTTTACTACCCAACTTGTAATAATTTTACTATGTAAAAACATGTTTACATTTTTGCTACAAGCTTAAGATTTGTTTATTATACAACTGCAACGGGTTCAATGTTTGCTCGCAAGCAATTTGACATGTTTTGTAAATGACAAAATCAAGATGTTTACTCAGCAATTTGCAAGTAGTTTACAGTGGTTTTACATAGGCTAAAACATGTTTACAATACCTTTGCTATGACAATGTTACAAATTCAATTGGGTTTACATCAATTATTTTGTAATTTTATGAATAATCCTGGAAGATCCAGTTGAGTTAGGTAAGTTATTCAGCAAGGAAATGTACACCTGGGAGTACATTTATTTTAAATAACTGCCAGCCTTTTTCAACAGAGATGAAATTAAGCCTCAACTACTAAGATGAAAAATAATTTTTAGAAGTTAATAATTTGAATTTATTATCTCAAACTCAAAAATTTGTGTTCAGTTCTCAAAAAATCAAACCTAAATTCTGGGCAAAATTCTGCAAAATTCTTTTATCTCCCCTAGATATGAGTTCTGATAGTGAACATAGAGAATGACCTTCTCAATTTTTATGACATGTTAGTTTAGGATGCACCCCCACAAAATATAATCTTTTAAAAGGAGTGTCATTTTTTCCAGTATTTCAAGAGGGAGAAATCAGATTTGATATTAATATCAGGAATTTTTGTGGACTTTTAAAAAAAAACCCAAATAGTTTCTGTTCTTATTTATAATATATTTAGTGTATAATATGTATCCAAGTAATTTTGAGGTTCACCTAGGTGTTGAATCAAAAGAATGCAAAGAAAAACATTTTTAGGTTGTAGATATAGTTCCAAATACAGCAGATGAAGTTAAGTTTTCAAAAGAAGGCACCATCCATATTTGGAAGATGAAAACAATTATTTTAATAGGCACGCTCATCTCTGATCATACCATTTTATTGATGATATCAGCAAGAAGACTAAAGGTAGAATATTATTGATTTCTATGTGCATTTGCATCTTCCCAGACCACATGATGCCTATAGAATTATATTTCTACGATAATAATAGCAGCAGACAGAGACTATAGAAT